TCCACCGGTCAAAACGAAGCCCTCGGTATGCTCGTCGTTTTGGTATAAGGGACTAGTACCAAAATCTCTATGAATTCTTGGAATCAAAACAAAATATAAACATTTGAGAGTTTGGGCAGAGAGGGATGAGAGAAAAGAAGAGAAAGGATTGTAGAGAGAGAGAGATTCTGAAATGGAAGAAAAAGGCGCAAATAGTCAATACATAGTTGAAATGCACGAAAAACGAAATAGATAACGCGCCTGGCCTCACGTGCGGCTCTCACTCCCTCACGTGCGGTCCTCTCCTGCACCTGCAATTAATGCAGCCTTGCACTCCTCCCTCCCCTGTTTTTCGCATGTGCGGCCTCACCTCCCGCACGTGCGGCCTTGGTTCTCCAACCCGAAAAATCTTCAGCTCCACTCCAGACATTCCGGACTCGACCTCGCACCCTTTGAAACAAGTGCAGACTTGGAATTGAAACAAATGAGAAGGAAGATTTTTTTGAGGAGAAGTTTTTAAAAAATTACGAACCCAACAGTTGATAGGACCACACTTTAAAACCCAACATTTTAACGAAAGTAAATCCAATATAACTCAAATGAACAAGGCAAATTACGTACCGGTCATCACAATGAAATAGGTTTTCCCTTTTCTGAATTGACAATAAAAAATAAAAATTATCCAGAGTTTGTCACCAAATAATAATAATAATTTACTTATAGACATGCTATATATATATATATATATACACACGTGCACCTATTAGATAAAAATAGCAAGAAAAAAAAAATTGGAATCGACCATTCAAACCTTTTAAGTTCTTAATAAAATCTAGAACGAATTCCACTAACGGTCTTTATAATTTGGGACTTGTGTGACATTCGTCCCTAACCTTTTTAATTGTGATACATTTAATTCTGAATTTTAAATCTCGCTTCAAATAAGGATAATTGAAGACATTGTTATCCAATTTCAATGGTAAAGTCGTCAATTTGATAAAATATAAATTATTTTGAAAAAAATAAATGTCAAAAAATTATTTTTGAATTTTTATTTCTACCCATAAAAGATAAAATTATATAAAAATGATAAATTTTTTATTTTTTTATCAAATTAATTTTAAGTACATGTTTGGATAATAATCATATAATGGGTAGTTATTTTTGTTAATATTTTTGGATGATCATCATATAATAGTATTTGTTGTTAACAAATATTTTAAATAGTTATCATGCAATCGATGTGTTGATACCGCATTTTGTTTTGCATTCTAAAGCAATCACACAACATGTGATCACCAAATTTATTAAAAGTATTGAAAATAGAATTTTAAAATTCACTAATATGTATATAATATTAAAATATATTCATAGTATGAATTTTAGTCTATTTTGAATCTATTAGTAAAAGAGACACAGATTTCATTTAGAATCAAAATATTATTACAAACAAAAAAATCTGAAATACTGAAGTCATGATATAATTCATCATATCAAAGTAGGTGTTGATACCTTATCTTTACTAATTCTAAAAAAAGTAAAAATAGTAAACACAAATTAAAAAAATATAAAAGTAAAGATAAATAACAATAATAATAATAATGATACTAATAAAAATAAACAGATAAGAATAAGAATAAGAATAAGAATAAGAATAAGAATAAGAAACAATAAATAAATAAAAATAAGCAAAACAACAAAGCAAGTAACAAATAAATAATGATAAAATAATAAGTAAAGAACTAAGAAAAGAAACAAACGAAAATAAATAATAAAAAGTAAAGCAAGAAAATAAATAATAAAAAGTAAAGCAAATAGAAAATGAAGAATGCTGCGGCAAAGAGATAAGGATCAAGAGCAACGGAGACTTAGCAATTCGCAAAAACAGATGCGAACCGCAACAAATAATTATTCCATCACCACTTGGCAGGCCACACCACCTCAATTTTGCCTATAAACATTACGTCAAAATTGGGCTTTAGCGGCGATTTTTTACCGCCGTTAAAGGCTGTAAAACCGCCGTTAAAGCCTTTAACGGCGGTATTAATGGCGGGTTCGTTACCGCCGTTTATGCGTGTGTCGGAAAAAGTGAAACCGTCGTAAAAAGGCAAATTACCGTCGTTAAAAGTCGACCAAAAACGGCGGTAATATAGGACCAAAAACGGCAGTTTTTTACCGCCGTAAATAGGTTCAAATTTTTCAAAAAATAATTCTTTCTTCTTGCACTCCCCAAGTTTTGAACCCAAGACCTCTCATCCAACAACACTAACCACTCTGCCATAGCCACTCTTCATGAAATATATTCCCTAAATAAATATTTAAACATTACTTTTACTTTATTGTAGATGGTTTCACTGAAGCTCGCCGGAGTTTCGCCGGAGCACGCCGGAGTTTCGCCGGAGCTCCGCCGGCAAAGACCGCTGTCATTAACGGCGGTAATGATTGGGCATTAGCGGCGGTTTTGTTACCGCCGTTAAAAGTGGGCATTAACGGCGGTTTCGTTACCGCCGTTAAAAGTGGGTTTCATTACCGTCGTTAAAGACACTTTTAGTGGCGGTTTTTTAACGGCGGTAACGAAACAGTTAATGATACATTAACGGCGGTATTAACGACGGTTTTCGTTACCGCCATTAATAGTACCTTTAACGGCGGTTTTCGTTACCGCCGTTAAAAAAATGGCCGTTAATGCCTTGTTTTGGCGTAGTGAAATAGGCAAGCTCAACAGCAATACGGGGAGTAATCAACAATAGTAAAAACCAGAGAGAGAGAAAAAAAAAAAAAAAGAAGAAAGAAACAGAAAGAAAGAGAAGTACGGGAGAAGAAGAAAAAGAAAAGAAAAGGAGAAGAATAATAAGGTATTAATCACAAGTTAAATCTCTGTAAGTAAAGGTCAATTTAAATAACTTAAGTTGAACCTCTGCTCAATTTGTGGAAGACTATTGAAATAAATCAAGGTGAACTTTTGCCCAATTCAAAATAAAGTATAATCCAACAATTTTATTAATTTATTATAATTTTTAAATCTTATCATCATCATATTATTATTGACTATTACTAATATTTGTTATTATCCTGTGAGTCTCATCATCATGGGTCTCATCATCATTTCATTTCATTACATATCAATGTAGGGATAAAATTCTCAATGTTAACAATTTTCTATATTAACACTAATATTACTATCCCACTAACTATATATATGTGAATAATACATATTATTATTATGGGAGAGGCTTCCCTTCAGTCCATTGTGTGGACTGGAGTATACTGTTGGGCCTGTGGGGCTCACCACAGGTCCCATTTCGATAATTCGAATTGTTAATGTGTATAGATCGCCGAGTATTTCATGCTTGCAAAAAATCAGGTTGGTCGGATATCGGTAATCCCTTGATCCAGGGCCGACCCTGAGCATAGGCCCACCAGGCCATGGCTTATGATCCCTCAAAATAGACCCAAAAAATGGCCTCCTCCTATTATAGTTTAGTGTAATATATTAGATATGTTTTAAGTAAAAAAAAAAATAATAATAATAATAACAAAGAAGACCAAAACTAACTTAAAATAAATTGACCCATTAAACAATTAAAGGGTCCATTCAAAATTTAAAAGCCCAAACTAACTTAGCGTTGGTTACTTCTTCTATTTTATGGATTAAGCCCTTTGTTCACTCAAAAATAAGTTCGAACAATTTAAAGTATATGAGGCAAACTTTGGCTTTTTGTTTGACTTGAAAAAGTGCAGCGATGAATCGTTGAAGGCGGGGTATGTGAACCTTGAAATTTTTTTAAAACATTGTGAGATTTTCAATATTGATGGAGCTAAAAGTCTTGAAAGAGAGATTGTCAAAAAAAGTCAATAAACCAATTGAAGTGCTCAATCATTTGCAATTGAGGGCAAATTTTTTCCCAAATTTATGGGTTGCTTATGGGATACTATTGACTATTCCGGTTACAGTTGCATTAGAGGGAAGAAGATTTTCAAAGTTGAAAATTATCAAAAATTACCTTCGATTAACTATGTCACAAGAAAGATTGAATGAATTAGTATTGTTATCTATTGAAAATGATTTTACAAAAAAATTAGATTATGCAAGTATGATTGAATTATTTGCTTCTAAAAATACAAGAAGAGTAATGATCAAGTGATACTTATTAGTGATTGCAATGTAATGCTAAGTATTTTTTGTGATTTTGACACAAATATTTTGACATTTACCTTCGATTTTATTTTATTTTTTCGTTGAATGAAAAAAGAAAAAAGAAAAAAGTGAAGGGCCCCAAATGATCTAGTGATATTTATTAGTTGATTATCAGCTTTAGGTTTCGGAAATCTCAGGGTTGGACCTGCCTTGATCGGAACACATTTTTGTTAATAATTTATTTTTAAAATTATACTTACCATTGACAAAAATGTGTTCCGATCAAGGAGCTACCAATATCCGATCAAAGTGATTTTTTATAGGCATAAAGTACTCGATGAGCTTTACAGACTAAATGGTTTGGATTATCGAAATGGGACCTGTGGTAGGCCCCACGGACCTGACATTACGCTCTAGTCCACACAGTGGATTGGAGAGAAACCTCTCCCTATTATTATATATTGTTCCTTAGTCGAATGTATAGTAAATATACACCAATACGGACTTTTTTGGTCTTTATTTACATCTCTGTCATTTAAATATCAGTACTCACTACTAAAAAAATCACTTTTTGCGACCGCTATAAACCGTCGCAAATAATAAAAAAACAGTCGCAAAAGACCTTTTGCGACGACCCATGCGACGGCAAATGGGGGTCGCGAATGTGGGGGTGGCAAATACTTTTTGCGACGGCAAAGCAACGGTCGCAAATTTTTCGCGACCGCCTAAACTACTTATGGCGACCACTATTTTTCCGTCGCAATAAACAAAGAAAAACACTAACATGATTTTTGGCGACCATCTTGTTACCGTCACAAAAAAAAAAAAGAAAAAAAAAAGAAAAAAAGAAAAAGTGTAACGTTAAGCACTCTAAGAGTAGTAATGACAAGAATTTAAACGAGTATAGCATTGTAGTTTAATCAGGCATTCCATTTGAGTTTCAAAATTGGAGTCATATGTGAGTTATTACAACTAAAAACTTGGAAAAAGTTCTTTTATGAAAAAAATACAATCCATTGGAAAACAGCTCTTTGTTGATGTTAGGGTGCGTCTTGAAGAGGACACCTGCATTGCCTCCAGTCTCAACCTGAAAGTAAGGCAAGATGTTAAAGCATGCCATTAGATAAAGCATCAGAATTTAAATCTACAAACTCAACTCATGGAGAAAAAAGTATGCACTTCTAAAGATACCACAAAAATTGGCTTTAAAAGGTCATTAATCTTTTAACAGCAGAAATAAACTTAAGGCAACATTATAGTCTGTAAATATGGTGAAGAACTAATCTCCTGTTTGAATTTCCAACTGAAATTGAATGGGGCCATTCCTTTCTCACAAAAGAATTTAACTTAAAACTCATCACCTTGAACTGTTATTTCCATAAAGCCTATAAATTACCATATATGAAAAAAATTATAAAATAGAACTCTACTTGAGATTACTCTGTAACACAGTTGACATATAAAAATACAGCAGGATTTAGATAGGAAAAAGAAGGAAACATGAAGTTATACCTGAGAGTTGATCTTTGAGAGATATTATACCATGTCCTTCTTTGAGATTTAATTGCACCTGTTTGACACACAGTTCTAGGAAAATGAATAACACAAACTGGTGGAAAAGGAATAAAGCATCAGACTCACTTAAGAAGAAAACAAACTCCACATCTACTTATTCATTTTCACAACCATATACAAGGAAACTAAAATTTATAAACATTTTTTAATTTAGTTTATGATTCGGTCACAACCACTTTTCCAAAATTGCAATTTAGTCAAGATTCACAAATGTACTAGTCACATATTTGGGAATTATATAGTTGCAACAACCTCCCATTGGGGGGTGCAAATTCACTTCAGAACCGCAGTTCCACACTTCAAAGTAAGAATTGCATTAGAACCTCGCTCTCATCAGAAAGAACTGCACTCCCAACTGGGATGAAATATAGCTAGGTGTTGATACAATTTTTGGTGAGGGTTAACCTTGGAAACTACTCCAGCAGTGGTGATGTTGCTCTAGCCATCTTTTCATACTCCTGGTATCTCAGGCCTAAAGAAAAGATCTTGGAAGCTTGTATTCACCAATCAAGAAGTGAAATGTTCACTCAAGCAGTCATGTCGAGACAGACTGCTCGTTTCACATGATCTAAGAGCAAACAGCTACTTATGTGCACTACAAACTTTCTCGTACGTGTGATTAAGTTCATGGTTGTGATATGAATTTTATCTAAATTGAGTTTGAGAAAATCAGAAGGTTGGTTTATTTCTTCTGAAGGCATAGTGGTCGGGTTTCAAAGATAGTAAGTGAAAATTTTGTCTTTGCTATATAAAAATGTTGTTTCAAATTACATGCTGGAATTTTTTGTCCATGATCACTCGCACATGTCACCATAGAAATGTATAGGATTGTTAGATGTTTCTGTGTAATCAATTGATCTGTTTCCTACCAAATAGACTACTAAATTTGACTATTCAACAATTTTCTAATCACCCATGTGGCTAAATCAAATAGCATGTTAATTTAAATTATTATTCCAAAAACCCTAGGTATGACAAGATTGTAGGAAAAAATTAACTCAAATTACATCACCCTTGACTTACACCACCACCACCCCACTCCAATCCACCCTCGCCTTCTTGCTCAGCTTCAACTAAGGCCCACTACTTTTTTTATCGGTAACAATTGAACTCAGGTTCACCATTTGTTACTACCAAAATTTGGTTCAAACCCTGATTAACAAATTGTTGTGAAGAGGTCAGAGATTTCAATGACCCTAACCTAAACCACCCTTCCATCTCAAGAAGTTGCAGACCACCTTTTGCTCCTGACCTTTCCTTTATCAATGGGCTTTTTAACTTTATCCAACTAAAGGCCAACCTGCTTGGAAAGAACCCAACTCTGAACCGCCAAGGCCCAATTAGAAACTAGGCCTCCCATCTTTAGAGTCATCAAAGCCCCTCTCAAAGACTGCCTAAGAGAAGACGTTGATCAAGACCATGGAAAACCAAACTCAACCCAAATTCACAATCTCATGTTTGGTTAGCAGGTATATTCTTAATTATTCATTTCAAGTGTAATATAAGTTCATAGATATAAAATTGGATTTTTCATTCCTAATAACAAAACAAATGCATATCTAACTTTTCCTAAATCCCTTGTCAAGAAGGGAGAAAAGCTCAACCCAAACTCCAGACAATAAGCAGGATGCACACCATATCCTCTTTTCATCCAAATGATAGGGACTTTGATTGGGTCACAGTGCACGACACCACTTCTCCAAATGGGTTGGTTTCTGTCCCCCTTCTCTCCATTGAAGAAGCTATGGGTTAAACTACACTCAGCTCAAAAGACGAGTATGTCATAGCAGATTCATTGCTTAACAGTTATGATTGCTATAAAACTCTTTTAGGTACTTCTGCTTCATCTGTTCACTTCTCATACCTAATTGCATGTTTTTTTATTTTGGGTCCAATGGGTCTAGTTCACTTTGCCCATAACCTCCCCCTCTACAAAACTTGGGTGTCCCTTGGGGCCTATCCCAAGTTCCAAACTCAAGCCTTATAAACCCACTTAAAGTTTGCCTATTAAATCAATGTGGGACAAGCCTTAAACCAAACATTTAGGAAATTTCACCAAAAACACCATTTTCATGGAGCTCTCTTTGGCTTTAATTTCCCATTCACCTGATAATGGTTTTGAGCAACCAAACATATTACGTGAATCAGAACGCGGCATGGAACGCGTTACCACTTAGACCCGCCAGCTTTGGCACATGGGTCCCACCTAAAAAATAGACTAGAGTTGAGGAAAAATCTGTTTTTCCAAAACTTCCAAAACCCATTTCTAACAATCCCCCACATGAATGGAATTTGATGACGACGAAAATGCAACAATATGCAGAATTTGTTGAAAGAGTATAAATCGAAAATATCTTGCATTAGGATAGATAGCTTTTGTCCTCGAACCTTCCCTAGTGATAACCTATCGGACTTACTAGCTAATTAATGGATGCGATGCCTTGAATTGTTCAGTCGTTTGTGTAAGTCAAGACAATAGATTTCACACAAAATATCTTCTGACACATCGTGGTTCTCACGGTTGTGTTCATTTTGGCCTTAAACGCTCCTGGTTGTTCGTGAGTGCTTCTACAGAATTTAGCCTCTTCATTCTCATAGAACTGGCCTCAGTTCAATACTCATATAAGTGATTCTTTTTGTGAGTATCTCTTATACTTGTATTGTTTTTTATTCCTAAATCAAGATATAAGTAATCATTAAAAACAAAGCTTATCTTTAAACCCTGCATATAACACATGTTGCAGATATCACTCTCACCATAGGAATGGGTAGGGAATTTTAATCCCTTAGTGATTTCTGGCGAGCCACACATAACTTAGTTGTCCCTTTGAACTTAGTTCTTGGGATCTCTAGTCATATAAGTAGGGTTACCATTATGATGATTGTTATGTAATAGGCTTTAATCCCATCCCCTTCGATGAACTATACATTTGCTCTTTTGTCAAACCTTTTGTTAACGGATCCACAATATTCTCTTTAGATTTTATATAATCTATTGAGATTATTCCATTTGAGAGCAATTGCCTTATGGTATTATGTCGACGACTAATATGTCGTGACTTACCATTATACATATGATTCTGTGCCATACCTATTGCAGATTGACTATCACAATGAATGCAAATAACTGGCACAGGTTTAGGCCACATTAGAATGTCATCTAAGAAATGGCGAAGCCATTCTGCTTCTTCTCCTGCTTTGTCTAAAATAATGAACTCAGATTCCATTGTGGATTGTGCGATGCATGTTTGTTTCGTGGATTTCCAAGAAACAGCAGCACCTCCTAGAGTAAAGGCATATCCACTAGTGGATTTTGAATCTTTAGTAGCCGATATCCAATTGGCATTATAATAACCTTCTAGTATTACAGGATATTGAGTAAAGTTCAAACCATGATCACGGGTAAATCTTAGATATCTAAGAACCTAAATGATCGCTTTCCAATGGTCTTCTCCGGGATTACTAGTGTACCTAATCAATTTACTGACAACATAAGCTATATCAGGACGAGTGCAATTCATTAGGTACATTAGGCTTCCAATGATTTGGGAGTATTTTAACTAAGACACCGCATCACCTTTATTTTTTGATAAATAAAGACTGATGTCTACAGGTGTTCTAGCTACATTCATATCATCCTTGATATATTTACCAATAATTTTCTCAATATAATGAGATTGAGATAATGCATATCATCTGCAACCCTCATATCTTTCATATCAAATCTTTTGTTCAGCATTTGTTTAGTTGATTTGATCATGTTTTGATTGCTTCCAATGATAAGCATGCCATCCACATAAAGAAAAACGATGACATAACCTTTGTCAGTGCTTTTAACATAGACGCATTTGTCACATTCATTTATCTTAAACCCATTAATAAGCATAGCATGATCAAATTTTTCATGCCATTGCTTAGGAGCTTGTTTTAATCCATAAAGAGATTTTACAAGCCGACAAACTTTCTTTGCTTGCCTTGGCACTGTAACCCCTTCGGGTTACTCCATATAGATCTCTTCATTTGGATCACCATTTAAGAAAGCTGTCTTAACATCCATTTGATGTATTTTTAAATTATACAATGCTGCAATAGCAATAAGTATGCGAATGGATGTTATTCTTGTCACAGAAAAATATGTGTCAAAATAGTCCAGACCTTCTTTTTATCTGTAACTTTTTACTACAAGTCTTGCCTTATACTTGTCTATTGAACCATCTGCTTTCATTTTTCTCTTGAATATCCATTTATATCCAAGAGGTTTAGAACCTGGTGGAAGATCCACCAATTCCCAAGTATGATTTTGCATAATGGATTCAATTTCATTATTAATAGCTTCTTTCCACAAAGGTGCTTCAGGACCTGTCATTGCTTCCTTAAAGCTTTGAGGTTCATTTTTTAACAGGTATGTCAAAAAATTTGGACCAAAAGATTTTGATGTACTAGCTCTCTTACTTCATCTTGGTTCATCATTAGTTAAATCCTGCTGGTCGAGACCATTACTAGTCTCTTGCGTTTGATTGTCATTAGTCTCTTGACTTTGTGTACAATCATAAGTTCTTTTCTGTGAACTTAATTCATGTCCTTTCTTATAAGGAAAGACATGTTCAAAAAACACAGTATTTCTTAACTCTATAATAGTGTTTACATTTATATCAGGTATTTCTGATTTATAAGTTAGAAACCGATACACACTACTATTTTGAACATAACCAATAAACACACAATCCACTGTTTTTGGTCCTATCTTAGCCTTTTTAGGAATAGAAAATTTAACTTTTGCCAAACACCCCACACTTTTAAGTATTTGTAGGAAGGTGGTCGACCCTTCCACAATTTATAAAGAGTGCTGTTGGTTTTCTTGTAGGGTATTCTGTTAAGAACATAATTAGCAGACAATATTGCTTCTCCCCATAAGTTCTGCGGTAAGCCTGAACTTAGTAACATGGCATTCATCATTTCTTTAAGGGTTCTATTACTTTTTTCAGCAATTCCATTTTGCTGTGGAGAATAGGGTGCTGTAGTTTGGTGAATAATGCCATGTTGTGTACAAAATTCATTTAAAGGTGCATCATATTCATCACCCCTATCACTTCTAACCATTTTAATTGTTGTACCAAGTTGATTTTCAACTTCAGTTTTGTAGAGTTTAAACCTTTCCAAGGCTTCATCTTTACTTCTAAGTAAATATACATAACAATATCTTGTGCAATCATTGATAAATGTTATGAAATATTTTTGGCCTCCTCTAGTTTGAACAAATTTAAGATCACATACATCAGTATGAATTAATTCTAGAGGTTCAGTTTTCTTTCAACCGATTTAAATGAAGCCTTAGTTAGTTTCGCTTCTACACAAATCTCATATTTGTGATTAGGATCAATTTCAAACTTTGGTATATAATCCAAATCAATTAATCTACACAAAGCATCAAAATTTACATGTCCTAATCTATCATGCCATAAATTTGACTCAAGAATATAAGCAAAAGATGTGTTATTTTTATTAATAGCAAGTTTTGGTACAATCGTTATTACATTTAACTTGAAGAGAACATCACTCATGTATCCCTTACTAACATACATACCACTCTTTGTTAATACAAATTTATCAGACTAAAAAAAAAGCCAAAAACCATTTTTACTTAACAAAGAACTAGAAACTAAATTTTTTTGGATGTCTGGTACATGCAGTAC